ATTACTGTTACAATGTAAAAGTTTATCATGGCTAGTATATAATCGTAACAATATAATTTTTTTTTTGTTAATTAAACATGATAATTAATTTTTAATTAATTCCAATTAATTGTCAAACATAATGATCGCTTAATTGTTCCTTAGATAGATATATATAGATAGATAGATAGAAAGAAAGAAAGAAAGATAGAATAAGAAAGGATGAAAAAAATAGGGGTTTAGTTAGACGATTAATTGGAGCCACAACTATGACAAGTATTTACTTCGGTTCTACCATTCGACATGCCACAAGCGCTCGAGTTACGAGAAACTATAATATACCTATATACCAAGTAGCCACGATTCCTTTCTGCATTAACGTTTACAGTTCGCTTCTGAACCTCGAATTTGGTTGTAGCGCATTGATGAAAGGATGAAGGAAACTATGGACATTAACGTTCGAGGACTTTGCCAACTATCCGCGTTAATACAGAATCAATGCTATTCCACAATCTCGTATATCAATTATCTAAAAATTATTATTTATTATTATTCCATATAATGTGTAAGAATTATCAATAATTAACTGTTTAATTGGTTTTATGATCGATAGAGAGAAAAAAAGAAAGATAAAAAAAAAAAAAAAAAAAAAAATAATAAGAAAATTGATTTTTGTTTCGAAATATTTTGCAAAATTATTTCTCTCCTCCTCCTCCATCTCCTTCTCCTCCATCTCCTCCTCCTCCTCCATCTCCTTCTCCTCCATCTCCTCCTCCTCCTCCTCCTCCATCATGTCCCCTTTTCTTCAATAATAATACGTAGGAATAAAATAAGACAATTCAATAGAAAAAATTAAATTGTTTTCCGAGTAACGTTAATAGAAATTTTACAATTTGTCAATGAATTTTCTTGTAATTGGTCATATTAGACTAATAGAATCCTTGATATCCATACGACAATTGTCAAGATGTTCAATGAACCGTCAGTATCAACGACGGGTGGAAGCTAAATATCGATCGTTTCACTTAAACGGACCACGCCCGAAGGTCGAAACATCCGAAGACAAACGTTAATTTATTCCTCTGATATAGATTACGCCACGGACGATGTAAAGTACCTAATGATAACGATTTAATCGTCTTAATGAATTTCTTAATCGCTAACGTAAGTAAATCATTATTATAATAATATTATTTTCTTTATATATAAAGAACGAATATTAAAATCTTTGAGAGGCGCTTTATTTAAATTACATACGAAATATCCATTTTCTTAATTAGAGTAATCTTAATAATATAATAATATACATAAATGTGTAAGTATTGTCGATGTTGTCGTTGTTGTTGATTTCTTTCTTTCTTTCTTTCTTTCTTTCTTTCTTTCTTTCTTTTTCTTTTTTATTTTTTTTATTTTTATCGAATATAATCGTCAAACATTATATTCCAGTAGAAAAATATCTGTACATTGCAATAATGACATAAATATCGTTCCTTTCTTTTCTTCTTTCCTTCTTCTTATTATAGCATATTCGTTTTGGGCAATAAAAGAAAACTTTTATATATATATATATATATATATACATACACATATATATTGAAGGGTGGCCTTTTGATTCACCTAGTTCTGTATTACTACTGAATCGATCGAAGAATCCAAGTATAAACGTTGGCAATAATTTAATAGGAGAGACGTCGCATCTAAATTGTTTACACTCTGTGTCAGGTATAAGAATAGATCGGTCGTTTGCGAGTAGAAATAAACACAGAGTGCGTGTATATCGCGATTAATTCGCAGTTTCTTACCCCTCACAACAAGAAGGGTTAGTCGAAAAGAGAAAGTCGGGAAGGAAGAAAGGGGGAGGGAGGTGGTGGGGAGGAAGGGAGGGAGGGAGAGGAGAAGGGAATAGAAAGTGGATGGGGTGGGCGAAAAAAGAATAGAGAAAGAGAAAACGTGAGAAGGTCAGCAAAAAAAAACAAAAAAATAAAAAAAAAAAAAAAGAAAAAATTACCAATCTAACGTCACGTGAATGAATCTTCGTCCTATGTGTCTTCGTGATATTTAAAACGTTAAAATATTTTTATTCATTAATTAATCACGTGTATCGCGTGAAACGTTTGTTCGTCTTTATTGCATTGTATTGAAATGATCAAAATATTTTTCAAACGTTCCGTTGAATATTAAATCATGAAATTTCTTTGGATAAAGGTAATGTCTATTTTTCGTGGATATAATCAAGAGTGACATAAAGAGAGAAAATGGAAGAGAGAGAGAGAGAGAGAGAGAGAGACAGAAAAAGATAGACAGATATATATATATATATATATATGTATATATATAAAGGGAGAGAAAAACTAACAAGTGATTTAATATTCCTAAATCGAAATTGATAAACGTTATATACAGGGAAGAAATCCGAGTGGTAACTGGTCGTAAATAAGAAATACAAAGTGTGACGTGACTCTAAACGTAGAAGTGGATCACGGAGTATTATCCAGAGTGAGCGTGCGAGCTAGCCCAACCTCATACCGCAGCTTAAGGCAATTACTGAACGCTTGGTCCCTCGTTAGTAACTAACGTGATATAGAGAGAGAGAGAGAGAGAGAGAGAGAGAGAGAGAGAGAGAGAGAGAGAGAGAGAGAAAGAGATGAAGAGAGAGAGAGAGAGAGAGAGAGAGAGAGAGAGAGAGAGAACGTAATGGTAGAAGTGGCAGTAGTGTTGGTAGTGTGCAAGCGCGTCACGCCGGGTGGCAGAGTGTGAAAAAGCCATTCAAAACTCGCCTGGGCTCGTGACACTTCGCAAGAACCTCCTTACGCTAAGGGTATTATACGTACCGTCTTATACGAGCATAGAGTACAAAGACATGAGTCTGATGCTTAACGTACAGTTGTTAATTATCGTACCGTATAACGTAAACTTAAAATGTCTAGCTGCTCTTGGTTTTCCTATAAAGTTTCAAGCTTTTATCTTTTTTCTCTCTCTCTCTCTCTCTCTCTCTCTCTCTGTCTCTCTCTCACTCTCTCACTCTCACTCTCTCTTTCGCTCTCCTCTTACTCTTCTTTCATCCTTCATTTCTCATAATGAAATAATAATAAAGGCTAATCATTTTTGATATACGTTCCTAACATTAACGATATAAATATTTAATCGTTTAACGCAACTCGATCGAACGTCTCTTGTAACTTTCTCTCTTTATCTTTATCTCAATCAACGTCACTTTATTCTCTTTCTTCTTCTTCTTTCTCCCAACACCCAACTCCCCCCTCCCTTCTCCTCCCCCTCCCTCAATATATATATAAAATATAATTATATTACGTTTGATCGTCGTGTGCGCTTCCGACAAAAAAATCATCTATCTTTTACTCCATGAATTTTAATGAAAAAATTTGGTTCAAAAAAAAGAAAAAAAAAAAAAAAAAAAAAAAAAGGAAAAAAAAAAGAAAAAAAAAAGAAAAAAAAAAAACCATTCCCAATCTGCTTTTCAAAATGTACATTCCTAGTTAAAAGTTCTCTCTCTTTTTTTTTCTATTTTTTTTTTTTTTTTTTTTTTTTTTTTTTTTTTTTAATTCCCCCACCGAAACTTTAATAGGATAAGTGTGCTTTAACCGAGTTTATTGTCCATCAATTTGTTAGGGGAAGATTAGAGGGAAAAAAAAAAAATTCAGCTTCCAGTTTCAACGAAGTAAAATATCGAAGCAATCGGTTCTTTTCAAATCGAATGAGTATCTGGAAGGGAAAGGATTGACCGCTAATAAACTGGAACGCCAGGATAAATTCCATGATTTTCTCTTGGACCAGAGAGAGAGAGAGAGAGAGAGAGAGAGAGAGGAGGAGAGAGAAAAGAGGAAATACCAATTCAGAGTCGCTTACTTTTCTCGTCACGCTATCGAGCTAATTCTGATAAACGAGCCAGGATTATGGTACAGTGAGGGTCTACTAATTTCGTTTGATGGTTATCCATTTAAGAGGCGTGAAACTCTAGGAGCATATTTAACGAAGCTCGGAAAGCGATTATTATCGAATCTCGACAGTTTCCGTTTGAATAAAAATCGATTTATATTTGATTTTTGTCGAAGAAAGAAATTCCTTTTTATATTTGTCCGAAGTAAATACAAAAATAAAAGTAATGGATCGAAAAAAAACAAACCAAAAAAAAAAAAAAAAAGAAAAAAAAAAAAAAAAGAGAAAAAATAGGTCAATGTGCCAATTGACGAAGAGATAAAAAGTTCCTTTCTTAAAATAGAAAATACTACTGACCGATAATATGACGCGTGAAAGTGGGCGCGAAAGAAGTGCGAGGGGGCGGGGGCGGGGGCGGGAGTGGGGGGGATGTAGAAATAGATTCGAACGAGTCTTGCCTATGGCCTCAAGAAAAAAAAAAAAAAAAAAAAAAAGAAAGAAAAGAAAGAAAAAAAGAAAGAAAAAAAAAAGAAGAAGAAGAAGAACAGGAAAAAGAAAAAGAAAGAAAAATGAAAAGAAGCGAGTTTTAACCGCAGGCTATGAGATAGATCTCCGCGGATACTGAAACGCGTCCGCACGTATCTGAAAATCGATTGAAACGCAAAGAGCGAGTGTAAAGTCGAAGGGAATCTCTTGCAAGCCCTTCGTTTCCCCCACTTTTCCCTTTCGTTCGTTCGTTCGTTCGTTCGTTCGTTCGTTCGTTCGTTCGTGCTTGCTTTTATTCCCTTTACGAATTCAAGCGGATTTCAAGCTGCCGGATATCGAAGAAGCAAACATTAACCCTCCGAAGGAGGAACGTTCGAATTTAGCAAGCAAGCACGATCGGCAAAATCGATAAGGAAGCGAGTACTTAGCGAATTTCATTTATCCTTTGACCTGATATATAATATTTTAGCGAGGGACAACGAGAACGAGGAAAATGGATGGATGAGAAAAGAAGAAAGATATCTGGGAACATTTAAAGCGACAAAAAGTTTTAGGTATTACGTCGATCCTACTACTGCAAACCTGTCTCGAGTAGATCTTTTTCTGAAAGAACGAGGAGGCTCGATTTGTTTTTCTACCTCATATTCCTCATCTATTTTCTCTTCTTCTTTTTCTCCCTTTTCCTTCTTCTTTTTCTTCTTCTTCTTCATCATTATCATCATCATCATCATCATCATCATCTTCTTCTTCTTCTTCTTGTCTTATTCTCTTTTCTCCGTACTGGTACGATATTAACTATGGCAGTGAATGCAAATATGAATGCAAAGTCTTCTTATATCATTCGTCATGATACAGTCAACGACAATTACAAAAGAAAAATAATATATAAAATATATATATATATATATATATATATATATATATATATATATATAAATAGGAAAGTGATAAGAGGAAATATACAATGGTAAAAAGAAAATGGAAAGAAATTTGAATTATATGTATATGTGTGTATATATATATATATATATATATATATATATATATATTTCAAAAAGAAATAAGTTTTCAAAGTTAATAGGCAAGTCTATTAAAATTTCAAATGTGACACGAATCTAATCGAAGTTTTAGCACGAACGAGAAATCTATTCTTTTACCTTTCACTCGCTCTCTCTCTCTCTCTCTTTCTTTCTTTCACTCTTTCTTTCACTCTTTCTTTTTCTCTCTTTTTTAACTGTCGACCATTTTTCCATTTTTCTCGTCGCACGTTTCCGATAGAGAATAGGTAGGTAGGTAGGTAGATAGGTAGGTAGGTAGGTAGATAGACAGGTAGGTACATACCCGTCATAGATCGGTCCAGCCGAAGTTTCTGGCGATGAACGAGCAACGAATAGAATTTCGGGATTTCGATACTTGTTGAATCCCGCGTGGAACGTGCCGCTAATCGAGTTACCGTGGATACTAAAACATGGAAATTTCTCGTTAGTTATGTTCGTGGTGATCGCGCGTAAGGCCGCGTATCGGCCAGTTTCCAACCAGCAACAGGGCAAACCACAGATTTATTTCAATCGGTCATTTGAGAAACTTCATTCGTTCGTCCATTCGCATGTTCACTCGCTCGCACGTTCATTCGTTCGCTCGTTCATTTGTTCGTTCGTTCGTTCGTTCGTTCGTTTGCTCGCTTAAAACTATTTTTTGGCGAGCAAACAAGAATTGTCCCGTGGTGGCATATTTCAAAAAAAAATTTATCGTCTAGCTCTTTCATTCGAAATCGGATAAATACGTTCTCGTAATACTTGTTTCGACTGCCCGAATCGGATATACTATTCCATCGTTTTTAAAATACATTTTTTGATCCCCCTCCATCTCTCCTCTCTCTCTCTCTCTCTCTCTCTCTCTCTCTCTCTCTTTCTCTCTCTTGTCTTTCTTCTTTTCTATTTTTATTAGGAAAGCTGCCAGGAGATATCGTATTCTGATTTTCATGGAGAAGACTGTACACAGCAAACAGATTATATAAATGGGAATTTTCGATATTATACGTCCACCCGTATTCCACTATATAATAACTGTTCGATTATAAATTGTTTGACTTAGGTATATTATAATGTATCGATATTGAAAAACATCGGTCGCACACAATCGAGCCTTTCTGATCAAAGCGGGAGGAAGCATAACGATTGTTATGTACCTTTCGTGCTCGATTCTCGATAAAACGTGCACGAAAACTGTGCATTCCAGTTTCATCTCCATCTCTCTCTCTCTCTCTCTCTCTCTCTCTCTCTCTCTCTCTCTTTCCTTTCTCTTTTTTTTATTCTCACGAAAAATGTTCCAATAAAACGTTATAACAATTTATTTTCTCTCGTAACGTCGACGATGAACGACGCAGTATGTTCATATACGTATATATCTATATATAATATAATATATATATATATATATATATATATATATATATATATATATATATATATATGAAACATTGAAACGTGTATACTTATATTGATAACGATATATATATATATATATATATGAAACATTGAAACGTGTACGCTTATATTTATACCTCGTATTTGCATACTAATTGTGCAATTTATCATTGAATTAATTATGCGACGGATTCGCCACTCATCTATTACGAGAATAAATTTTCAAGCTCGACGAAATTCTTTGCCGATCATATTTACGTGATACGTTATTTTTTATTTTCTTTTCTTTTTTTTTTTCTTTTCGTTTCATTTTATATTTTATTTAACAAAAAAAGCTCGTATTGAATAGGTTCCTACGTGTTATACAAAACCGGCAAACGTTGCTCGGAATATTGTTAGTATAGTCATAATTGACGTCGTACATATATAAATTAAAAATTCTGAAATTAATAAAAAGAATGTAAGCGCTCACGGAGAGAGAGAGAGAGAGAGAAAGAGAGAGAGAGAGAGAGTGAGAGTGAGAGAGAGAGAGAGAGAGAGATAAAGAGAAAGAGAGAAAGAGAGAGAGAGAGAGAGAGAGAAAGAGAGAGAAAGATCGCGTGTCGAAGGACCCAAGGAAATAATCGCAACGCGGTTTCCAAAGGTCTTTTAATTACTCCTTGCAGACTATCACGCAAACCGTCGATCTCACTGAGTAGTCACGTAACCGACAAACGGAGATCAAATAAGCGAGGCCCTGTGAGAAAGTTTCGTGAAAAAAGGAAAGAAAAAAAAAAAAAACAAAAGAAAAGAAAAAAAAAAAAAGAAAAAAAAGAAAAGAGAAAAAAAGAAGAAAAAAGAAAGAAAAAAAAAACACGCTCTCGCGTTTTGCGTTTGGTACGTATGTATGTATTTTAAGTATACACACATACACACACACGCACACACGCACGCACGCACACACACACACACACAGGTATAGAAATGGGTGCAGTAGGGATCGGGAGGGCTATGCATTACGAAACATGTTGACGCGATCAAAAGCTCGGCTCTGCTTTTTTCTTTTTTTTTTTTCTTTTTTTTTTTTTTTTTTTTTTTTTTTTTTTTTTTTTTTTTTTTATCGTTCGAAATCAACGACGAGCTTTTAAACCCCTCGGGGGAAAATTCCCGGTATTGCGCGATACAAATTTTCCTAGATTTCGTATATGTATAACATTGCGATATGTGATTTTTTTTTTTTTTTTTTTTTTTTTTTTTTTTGACAAGAATGAGATTTCATTTAAAAGGCTGAAAGTGAATTGGAAGAAGAAATTTAATGGCGGATGAAAAATAAAGGGCGGAAGGGAGGAAGGGAGGAAGGGAGACAGATAGGGGAGGTAGGGGAGGAGTGGGGAGGGGAGGGGAGGGGGAAAAAACGAAAGACAAGGATCGATTCCACTTGCGAACTATCCAACAAATTTATTGACTAGGTGGTTGGATAAGACTTGGGAACCGATAGAAATGTTCTTACCCTCGTTTCAGAGTAAACGACAAGACTTCCGCATCAACCTATTGTTCCAAAAGAGAAACCAACGAAGAAAGAGGCGAGAGAGAGAGAGAGAGAGAGAGAGAGAGAGAGAGAGACAGACCAGAAACAGGGACAAGGGTCGATTCTTTGGTCAACTGTCCAGCCTGTATCCTCGATATCTTACAATAATGACTTTTAACCGTGCCTCTGTCTATCTCACTATTTTTCACTATTGGCAGTTGATTAGACGCGCGATCAGATAATGATTTTGAGTTTATCACACCGTCAAAATTAATTTCCTTCCTCTCGTCGTTTCTCTCTCTCTCTCTCTCTCTCTCTCTCTCTTTTCTTCTTCTTCTTCTTTTTTTTTGTCCTTTCGTTTTTTCTTTTTTTCTTTTTTTTTTTGTCTCTCCAAAGACAAAGAATAACCCGACGTTTATTCGTTCGTACATTCATTCATTCATTCATTTATTTATTTATTTATTTATTTTAATCTCTTTTCTCTGATAAAAACTCGCGTCGTATCAATCCTGTTATTTATTTCTTCTTCGATATGAAAACGAAAAACAAAAAAAAAAAAAAAAAAAAAAACACAAAGAAAGAAAAAGGAAAGAAGAAAGAAAAAAAAAAGGAAGAAAGAAAGAAAGAAAGAAAGAAAGAAAAAAAAGGAAGGAAGGAATAAAAGATGAATTGAAATCGTACGAGATCGATATCGATATCGATAGCTCTTAACGTACCATATAAAAGAGTTGAAATTTGTCTAGATTCTATAGGAAGGTAAATGCATGACTCGGTTAGCTCGTTCGTTAGATTCGTTTCGAAGAATGAGCAATTTAACGTTTGAAACCTGCCCTTTCACTTGGCAGAAATCCTTTTCTCTGGGCTTGCGCAGACCCTTTTTAACCGCGATTTCGTTCATCTCTCATGTCGATGACGTCGACGTTAGAGGTCCCAGAGTTTTCGATCGATATCGGAGCAAGGTACTCTTGACTAAAGGCGCGCAAGGCCGTACCGAGGACGTATAAAGGGGCTCGTGGAATTTGTCTATGGTGAAGGCAGATACAGTGGGGAGGGGTGGGGCAGGGAGGGAGGGGTGGCATATACACGGGCACATAGAGTTGAACACACAGAGAATAGACTCTGAACGTATAGATGGTACGGGGCATAGTATGGTACCATCGTCTTTCGTACAAGCCGCTTACCACTCCAACGCGTAATGTGCTACAGGCTTTACACGGACTCTGAATTCTCTGAGAAAAGTACGTTGAAAGAAATGTCGTTCCCGCAAAGCTTGCTACCAGGTTTCAACTCCCGTTGCCAAAGCTGTTCGAGCTTTTCAACGATAAGGAACTGGATGTATAAATGTGGAAGCGTGCCGGCTGTTTTAAACGATATAGAGAACGTATTTACAAACTAATTCAAGCCTAGTTACTTCTATATCGTAACATTTCTATGCTCTACCATTCGTATATCTGTACGAATCAAACTGATTCTATTTGAAGGATGAAATCCGAGCTTTCCTTTCGTTAAAACACGTCTAACTTCTTTTATAAACTAATGTCTTTCGAAAACTCTTCTTTATTTTCTTTTATCTACGACAAAGAAATTTTATACATTTTTTTATCCAAGTTTTATATTTATATATATATATATATATATATATATATATTCCGTTCTATTTTCTGAAATGTAATTTATTAGATAAAAAATAATAACGAAAATGTACAATGAGAAATATTTTATTGTAAATGTCAATGCTTCTTTTCTTTCTTTCTTTCTTTCTTTCTTTCTTTCTTTTTCTTTTTTCTTTTTTCGTTTCTTTCTTTTTTTTTCTTTTTTTTTTTTTTTTTTGTATATTCACTCGATTGAATTAAATCGAATAATCGATAATCGATGTATCCTATATATGTATACGTGTAACATGTATCATATATATATATATATATATGATTTATATCAAATAATTTTTAAAGGAAATGGAACATCGAATGAAAAGATGAATTTAATAATAAAAACAGAAATATTTGAAATTATTAGCAAATTTTAACGAACACGTCGCATCGAACTGCCGACGGAGCTAACCGCGGAAATAAATCCTGGGATTTGAAACGTATGGGAATGAAAAGCCGAACGATAGAAAGTATCGGAATTTTGTAGCAAATCAATCAACACAACATATTTCAACGCGATTGAAATAAACGCTGCGTAACCAACGTGACATGGACGACGTTAAAACGAAGATTGTTAGACTATCCCTTCGTTAAATTTAACGGGATTTTATCGAGATTCCCTTTCCTATTTTAATCTATTTTCATGTCTAGAAAACATTCCTTTTCAATTTTGACAAAAACAAAAAATCTCAATAGGGATGATCTCTCTCTCTCTTTCTCTCTCCTTCTCATTTTCTTTTATTCAAGGGGGGAAAAAAAATGTGTTACGAAGTGAGCATGATATGAGAGTAATTTTTGAAACGAAGGATATGATCGGAAAAGGATCAGAGACAAATTTTTTCAAGGTCCACGATTTACTCGGAATTTCAGTCACGAATT